GATCCCCCGTGTAGCCTTAATAGACTGTAGGGGCAAGTGCTGTTAGCGAGCACCTATGAAGGCCGGAACGGTACACGAGGGGGTGGGTGGCCAGCACCACGCCCGACCGCCTTTGTCTCCCCAGTGGCGATGTTTACACACCGCACCAGGTACTCATTTAAGGCTCAGTCGACCTAGGGGAGGCCCAGGACCGGTTCAGATAATCGTCACTGGTGTTAGCCGTGAGCGGGAATCGAACCCGGGTCGCCAGGTTCATAGCGCAGCGCGCTAACCGCTACACTACCGCTCCCCATACCCATACACACACATACCCACACACACACACATATACCCACACACACATATACCCACACACACATACCCACACACACACCCACACGCACACACCCACACACAAAGACAAAGATCTCCCCCCCCGTGAAGCCTGCACAGACTGTTGGGGCAAGTGCTGTTGGCGAGTAGCACCTATGAAGGCCGGCTCTGTGGCACACGAGGGGGTGGGTGGCCAGCACCACGCCCGGCCGCCTTTGTCTCCCCAGTGCTAGCGATGTTTACACACCGCACCAAGTACTCATTTGAGGCTGAGCCGACCTAGGAGGGAGGGGGGGGCAGGACCGGTTCAGATAATCGTCACCGGGTGTTGGCGGCCGTGAGCGGGAATCGAACTCGGGTCGCCGGGTTCGTAGCGCAGCGTAGCGCTAACCGCTGCGCCACCGCTCCTCACATACACACACACACAAGCGCACAGACACACACACACGCACACGCCTCGCAAACATCCTGCAGTTACATAATCGTGTACACCACCGAACAGACTCAACGTGTCCACACAGGCACACAAATCCCGCGTGTCGACAGTAAGATACCGCAGGGGCAAGTGCTGCTACACCGACCGCCTTTGTCTCCCCACCGCTAATGTTTACACACGGCGAAAGTGGTACTCATTTAAGGCCGAGTCAACCCAGGGGATGCCCAAACACCCACCGGTTCAGATGTCACTCGACGCCGACGTTATCCGTGGCCGAAAATAGAACATTCAGGGTCGCCGGGTTCGCAGTGGAGTGCGCTAACCAGTGCGCCACCGCTCCCCACTGCATTCTAAAACTACCCCAGCAGCAGCTGTCGTTCACAAGCTGACGGTGATGACGCCGGAGGTCCTGTGCCAGGCTAGGTGCACCTCGCACACTACTGATCGAAACAGGCCGGCTCAGAGCCACGCCAAACTCGAGCCAACTCAGAGCCAGAGCCAAGCTCAACTCGAGCCAGCTCAGAGCCAGAGCCAAGCTTGATCTCGAGCCGACTCAGAGCCAGAGCCAAGCTTGATCTCGAGCCGACTCAGAGCCAGAGCCACGCTTGATCTCGAGGTGACTCAGAGCCAGAGGCAAGCTGAACTCGATCCGACTCAGAGCCAGAGCCAAGCTTGATCTCGAGGTGACTCAGAGCCAGAGCCACGCTCAACTCGAGCCGACTCAGAGCCAGAGCCAAGCTTGATCTCGAGCCGACTCAGAGCCAGAGCCAAGCTTGATCTCGAGGTGACTCAGAGCCAGAGCCAAGCTTGATCTCGAGCCGGCTCAGAGCCAGAGCCAAGCTTGATCTCGAGGTGACTCAGAGCCAGAGCCACGCTTGATCTCGAGCCGACTCAGAGCCAGAGCCAAGCTTGATCTCGAGCCGACTCAGAGCCAGAGCCAAGCTTGATCTCGAGGTGACTCAGAGCCAGAGCCACGCTTGATCTCGAGCCGACTCAGAGCCAAAGCCAAGCTTGATCTCGAGCCGACTCAGAGCCAAGCTCAACTCGAGCCGGTTCAGAGCCACGCTTAACTCAAGCCGACTCAGAGCCAGAGCCAAGCTTGATCTCGAGCCGGCTCAGAGCCAGAGCCAAGCTTGATCTCGAGCCGACTCAGAGCCAGAGCCAAGGTGAACTCGAGGTGACTCAGAGCCAGAGCCAAGCTTGATCTCGAGCCGACTCAGAGCCAAGCTTGATCTCGAGCCGACTCAGAGCCAGAGCCAAGCTTGATCTCGAGCCGACTCAGAGCCAGAGCCACGCTTGATCTCGAGGTGACTCAGAGCCAGAGGCAAGCTGAACTCGATCCGACTCAGAGCCAGAGCCAAGCTTGATCTCGAGGTGACTCAGAGCCAGAGCCACGCTCAACTCGAGCCGACTCAGAGCCAGAGCCAAGCTTGATCTCGAGCCGACTCAGAGCCAGAGCCAAGCTTGATCTCGAGGTGACTCAGAGCCAGAGCCAAGCTTGATCTCGAGCCGGCTCAGAGCCAGAGCCAAGCTTGATCTCGAGGTGACTCAGAGCCAGAGCCACGCTTGATCTCGAGCCGACTCAGAGCCAGAGCCAAGCTTGATCTCGAGCCGACTCAGAGCCAGAGCCAAGCTTGATCTCGAGGTGACTCAGAGCCAGAGCCACGCTTGATCTCGAGCCGACTCAGAGCCAGAGCCACGCTCAACTCGAGCCGACTCAGAGCCAGAGCCAAGCTTGATCTCGAGCCGACTCAGAGCCAGAGCCAAGCTTGATCTCGAGGTGACTCAGAGCCAGAGCCAAGCTTGATCTCGAGCCGGCTCAGAGCCAGAGCCAAGCTTGATCTCGAGGTGACTCAGAGCCAGAGCCACGCTTGATCTCGAGCCGACTCAGAGCCAGAGCCAAGCTTGATCTCGAGCCGACTCAGAGCCAGAGCCAAGCTTGATCTCGAGGTGACTCAGAGCCAGAGCCACGCTTGATCTCGAGCCGACTCAGAGCCAGAGCCACGCTCAACTCGAGCCGACTCAGAGCCAGAGCCAAGCTTGATCTCGAGCCGACTCAGAGCCAGAGCCAAGCTTGATCTCGAGGTGACTCAGAGCCAGAGCCAAGCTTGATCTCGAGCCGGCTCAGAGCCAGAGCCAAGCTTGATCTCGAGGTGACTCAGAGCCAGAGCCACGCTTGATCTCGAGCCGACTCAGAGCCAGAGCCAAGCTTGATCTCGAGCCGACTCAGAGCCAGAGCCAAGCTTGATCTCGAGGTGACTCAGAGCCAGAGCCACGCTTGATCTCGAGCCGACTCAGAGCCAGAGCCAAGCTTGATCTCGAGCCGACTCAGAGCCAAGCTCAACTCGAGCCGGTTCAGAGCCACGCTTAACTCAAGCCGACTCAGAGCCAGAGCCAAGCTTGATCTCGAGCCGACTCAGAGCCAGAGCCAAGCTTGATCTCGAGCCGACTCAGAGCCAGAGCCAAACTTGATCTCGAGCCGACTCAGAGCCAGAGCCAAGCTTGATCTCGAGCCGGCTCAGAGCCAAGCTCAACTCGAGCCGACTCAGAGCCACGCTCCCAGCCAGGCTCAGCATTTCCACGAGGCTGAGCCGGAGCCGCTGGGAAGCAACTGAGCGGCTCAAGCTTGAGCCGAGCCGAGACAAAGGTCACCCCTATAGCCTTGGCGGACTGTGGGGGCAAGTGCTGTTAGCGAGCAGCACCACGCCCGGCCGCCTTTGTCTCCTTAACGGCGATGTTCAGACATCGCGCCAGGTACTAAATCTGAGGCTGAGTCGATCTAGGCGAGGCCCAGGACCGGTTCAAGATAATCGTCACCGGGTGTTGGTGGACATAGAGACACAGACTCACTCACAGAGACACAGACTCACTCACAGAGACACAGACACACACACAGAGACACAGACACACACACAGAGACACAGACTCACACACAGAGACACAGACACACACACACACAGACAGACTCACTCACAGACTCACACACAGAGACACAGACTCACACACAGACACACAGGGACACATTCACAGGCACACAGAGACACATTCACAGAGACACAGATACACAGAGACACAGACTCACACACAGAGACACAGAGACACATTCACAGACACACAGGGACACATTCACAGAGACACACACACACAGAGACACAGACTCACACACAGAGACACAGAGACACATTCACAGACACACAGGGACACATTCACAGACACACACACACACAGAGACACAGACTCACACACAGACACACAGAGACACAGACTCACACACAGACACACAGAGACACAGAGACACAGACTCACACACAGACACACAGAGACACAGACACACACACAGACACACAGACACACAGAGACACAGACACACAGACTCACACACAGACTCACACACAGAGACCCAGACCCTCACACAGAGACACAGACTCACACACAGAGACACAGACTCACACACAGAGACACAGACACACACACAGAGACACAGACTCACACACAGACACACAGAGACCCAGACTCACACACAGAGACACAGACTCACACACAGAGACACAGACTCACACACAGAGACACACACAGAGACACAGACACACAGAGACACAGACTCACACACAGACACACACACAGAGACAGACTCACACACAGACACACAGAGACACAGAGACACAGACTCACACACAGAGACACAGACTCACACACAGACACACAGAGACACACAGAGACACAGACACACACAGACACACAGAGACACAGACTCACACACAGACACACACACAGAGACAGACTCACACACAGACACACAGAGACACAGAGACACAGACTCACACACAGAGACAGACTCACACACAGAGACACAGACTCACACACAGACACACAGAGACACAGACACACACAGACACACAGAGACACACAGAGACACAGAGACACACAGAGACACACACACAGACACACACAGACACACAGAGACACACAGACACACAGAGACACACAGAGACACAGACACACACACAGACACACACAGACACACAGACACACAGAGACACACAGAGACACACAGACACACAGAGACACACAGAGACACACAGAGACACAGACTCACACACACACACAGACTCACAGACTCACACACAGAGACACACAGACACACAGAGACACACAGAGACACAGACTCACACACACACACACACAGACTCACACACAGACACACAGACTCACACACAGACACAGACACACAGAGACACGTGTAGATACTCACGGACACTCAGGCGAGGTGCACTGTCTTCACTGTCTCACTGTCTCATCCCCTACTGATCGCGGTTATCACTCGGCGTGCCCAGACCACGCCCCTTTCCACACAGACCACGCCCCTTTCCAACCAGACCACGCCCCTTTCTACCCAGACCACGCCCCTTTCTACCCAGACCACGCCCCTTTCCACCCAGACCACGCCCCTTTCCACCCAGACCACGCCCCTTTCCACCCAGACCACGCCCCTTTCTAAACAGACCACGACCATCAGACCCCGCCCTCTACCGTACCACCGTGCGTGATTGGTCGCAGCGGTCACGTGACCGACTCTTGAGTCCACCGCATAGCAACAGCAACGTTCAGCGGGCAGCCGTGAGGTCACGGGGGGGTCACGGGGGGGTCACGCAGACATTTAAAGAGAATTTAATTAAAATGTTTACAATCTAAAAGCTGCAGCGTGGAAGGTTATACCTTTAGACGTCATGAATGTTCAAGTTCATGTATTAGGTATAGCCCTGTGAGCCATTCGGCTCTTGAATCGGGTGCAACCACAACAAACACAAAACAAAAACATGGACAAAAAACATCTTAAAGTGAATGTGTGACTGAGTGCAAACAGAAAATTCAAGAAAAGACAGCAAAAACATTGCAGAAAAAACACCGTACACCGACGCTGTGTGCAAAAATCTCAGTGGGATGCAAGTCAAACAACAACAACAACAACCATAAGACAACTTAGATTAAGGCCATCAGTCTAACTCTGTACTACAACAACACAAACATGGCCAAACCAAAACACTTTTCGAAATCACCAAAATAAAGCCATGAAAGCAATGAAACAGCGATCATAGGAACTGTGACGGAATTTTCACAATAAACAACATGTACTAACACAATCCTGCAGCTATAGCTGGCTGCATGAGTCACTCCACAACAGTAACACACATGCCCCACCTACTTTACATAATGCTTCGCAATAGCATAGCAGTCAACCCAAACGGCTTCGGGGTCGTCCATAAATGACGTCACGTGATTTTGGAGGATTTTTGACCTCCCCTCCCCCCCTCGTCACACGGCGTCACAAAAAGTCAGACCCCCCCCCCCTCAAATATAACGTCACAAAGCTTTGCCCCCCCCCCCCCCCCAAAAAAAAAACATGCTTCAAATCGCTTTAAACTATTGTCATTGTAGTGCGTGTTACTGATGGGAACCTCCTGGTTACACCAGCCCACAGGGGATTATTGTATCCGTCCGTCCGTCGTGCATCCAAAAATGGGAGGGGTGGGGCTGGGTGGAGAGGGGAGGGTGGGGAGGGGCTGGGTGGGGAGGGTGGGGAGGGGCTGGGTGGGGAGGGGAGGGTGGGGAGGGGCTGGGAGGGGTGGGGCTGGGTAGGGAGGGAGGGTGGGGAGGGGCTGGGTGGGGATGGTGGGGAGGGGAGGGTGGGGAGGGGCTGGGTGGGGAGGGTGAGGAGGGGCTGGGTGGGGAGGGTGGGGAGGGGCTGGGTGGGGATGGTGGGGAGGGGAAGGTGGGGAGGGGCTGGGTGGGGAGGGTGAGGAGGGGCTGGGTGGGGAGGGTGGGGCTGGGTGGGAGGGGTGGGGCTGGGTGGGGAGGGGCTGGGAGGGGTGGGGCTGGGTAGGGAGGGAGGGTGGGGAGGGGCTGGGTGGGGATGGTGGGGCTGGGTGGGGAGGGAGGGTGGGGAGGGGCTGGGTGGGGATGGTGGGGAGGGGAGGGTGGGGAGGGGCTGGGTGGGGAGGGTGAGGAGGGGCTGGGTGGGGAGGGTGGGGAGGGGCTGGGTGGGGATGGTGGGGAGGGGAGGGTGGGGAGGGGCTGGGTGGGGAGGGTGAGGAGGGGCTGGGTGGGGAGGGTGGGGCTGGGTGGGAGGGGTGGGGCTGGGTGGGAAGGGGCTGGGTGGGGAGGGTGGGGCTGGGTGGGGAGGGGAGGGTGGGGAGGGGCTGGGTGGGGAGGGTGGTGCTGGGTCGGGAGGGTGGGGCTGGGTGGGGAGGGTGGGGCTGGGTGGGGAAGGGAGGGTGTTGAGGGGTGGGGCTGGGTGGGGAGGGGCTGGTCACCCCGTGGTGCCCTTATAAAACTCAACGTTTAACCTACTCACGCCGGCTTGTGCCCGCCCTCACAGTCGGGCATATTTGCGGAATACACCACGCCGCCGTTGACCCTGGTCACACATCGTCACAAATGTCTGACCCCCCCCCTCCCCCCCAGGTAAGTGACGTCATTTATGGACGGCCCCTTAGTCCGTGTAATGATATGGCCAGGTTCTGTGTCGTGAGAGGTGGGAATGATTGTGTATTGTCTGTGTAATTCACTTAAATGTGACTCAGGTCACCCTTGCGTGAATTGGCAATGTTTCACGAGTATAGTTGGGATAATTGAATTGGCTGGTTTAATGTTTATGAACGCTTCATTACACAACCACGAACGGGGGGCCCCTCTTCACAACCTTTGAGCCACCCTCTTGGCAGCAGAATAACGTCCGATCGCTGCCACCAAGGGTAGCCAATGCGAACAATGATTTCATGTGAGAAGTTCATCTCTCGATCGCAAATATGTTTTACGGTTCAAAACAAACTCAGTACGCTCCGCAATCAATAACACTGCGTGCCTGTGTGTGTGTGTGTGGCCTTAAAAGGGAAAAATGCATATAATAGGCAACGTTTCGGGCAATGCCCCTACTTCATAGCACGTAAATAGAGGCGCGAGTAAGAGAGACAGAGTGTGTGATACGGGTTGGAGACCCCACGGGTTTGTATCAATGTGGGTCAGAGGTCACAAACGGGTTTTGATTCCTTACCCGTACCCGTACCCGGCCGCACCAGGGTCACAAATGTGTACCCGTACCCGGCCGGGTACGGGTACCCGTTCCCTACCCGTACCCTACCCGAAATGAGTGACAAACGGTTACTCATCAGTGACTCACGGCCTACCCGTACCCGTACCCGGCCGCACCAGGGTCGCAAACGGCTACGCGTACCCGGGTATCGGGTAGGGTATGGGTATCGGGTACCCGGTTGCGACCTCTGATGTGGGTCCTGATGAGAATTACATCAATGTTGATGTGCCATTTTATTTATGGACTACTGTGTGGTGTGTTATCTTGGTGTGGTCTGGGACTGTTTTGTTGTTGTTGTTGCTGCTGCTGCTGCTTTGCCCACATTTACACAGCGGCCAATGTTGAAGTAGTAACTAGTTTGGAACGTTTTTGTTGACGTGACAAACCTTACTAATTGGCTGTGTCAGCCGGGCGGTGGTGGGCTTAACGACACAATTACATTCACGCGATTTAACCCAAAACACATTGTCCTGCTGCGGAGGGAGCTGGTAGGAACGTTGGGTTGCTCGGTCAATGGCCTGCAGGGTCAACGGCGGCGTGGTGTATTCCGCAAATATGGCCGACTGTGAGGGCGGGCACAAGCTGGCGTGAGTAGGTTAAACGTTGAGTTTTATAAGGGCACCACGGGGTGACCAGCCCCTCCCAGCCCCTCCCCACCCTCCCCACCCAGCCCCTCCCCTCTCCACCCAGCCCCACCCCTCACATTTTTGGATGCACGACGGACGGACGGACACAATAATCCCCTGTGGGCTGGTGTAACCAGGAGGTTCCTACCAGTACTGTTTGTATTATTAATATTGTTGCACAAATTTTGACAGAACTTAGGACTTCACTGAGAAATTTCTGGAGTTTGGCTCGACAGTGGAAAAGATTGCAGCTCCAACTCAGCTTCGTTCAAGAGGCGGTGGTTGGGGGGGGGTAATGGCAGAGGTCGTAAACGGGTTTTGATTCCTTACCCGTACCCGTACCCGGCCGCACCAGGGTCGCAAACGGGTACCCGTACCCGGCCGTACCCGTACCCTACCCATACCCGGCCGGGTACGGGTAGGGTACGGGTATCGGGTACCTGATTGCGACCTCTGGGATGAAGCCATGTTGCAGGCGCGGGTGGGTTGATTCTAGGAACTTGAACTGTGAGAAGAGACAAGACGTTGGGAATGAGTGACAAACGGTGACTCACCCGTGACTCACGGTCTACCCGTACCCGTACCCGGCCGCACCAGGGTCGCAAAGGGGTACCCGTACCCGGCCGGGTACGGGTAGCCGGGTATCGGGTAGGGTACGGGTATCGGGTACCCGGTTGCGACCTCTGGTTAATGGTAGCGTTTTCCACACCAGGTGGTACTGACCAACTGGGCTGAACAAAGGTTCCGTGAGACCGTGTGCTGAATGCCACGTGGTGCTGCCGACTTAAACTATGAAAACGAATCAATTTTATTTTACCAGGAAAAGATCCACTGGGCTACACACGTCTTTTTCAGAAGCGACCTTGCCAGTTATGATAGCTCAGCAAAGTTGCTTGTCATGTTGAAATGTATATCAGCCCAAATTCTCTAAACGCATGTTGATTGTAAATATGCAGGGACAAAACTTGAGGACCTGGAGAAAAATCCACACGAACAAATATACAGCAGCAGGCGTCAGGTCGGGATTGAAACCACGACCTCCTGTATACCGGGCGAGGGTGTTAACATCTCCTAGCCACCGTGATGATGAGAGAGAGAGACACGCAAACTCCAAATATACAGCAGCAGGCGTCAGGGTCGCTATCGAACCCACGACCTCCTGTATACCGGGCGAGGGTGTTAACATCTCCTAGCCACCGTGATGATGAGAGAGAGAGACACGCAAACTCCAAATATACAGCAGCAGGCGTCAGGGTCGCTATCGAACCCATGACCTCCTGCATACCAGGCGAGGTAGTTAACATCTCCTAGCCACCATGATGATGAGAGAGAGAGACACGCAAACTCCAAATATACAGCAGCAGGCGTCAGGGTCGGGGTTGAACCCACGACCTCCTGTAGACCAGGCGAGGTAGTTAACATCTCCTAGCCACCGTGATGATGATGAGAGAGGGAGAGACACGCAAACTCCAAATATACAGCAGCAGGCGTCAGGGTCGCGATCGAACCCACGACCTCCTGTAGACCAGGCGAGGTAGTTAACATCTCCTAGCCACCCTGATGATGATGATGATGAGGGGGAGACACGCAAACTCCAAATATACAG